AAAAAACTTGCCCAGAAGAGGGGTGGAAATGTAAACTTAAAAAAGTATGACTTAAAATTAGTATTGCTGAATTTAAAGATTAGAGTATGTTTGCTGAGTGCTGTACTCAGGGACTCATAAGGTGGAGCATAAATCAACATTAAAGGTGAATACAGATGTTTAAGGGCAACAATAAAATGTGGTAATAGGGAAGAAGCAGTATCTGCCCGTGTTCACATAAAAGGTAACTTTCCAACTACCCTATGACACAGCAATCACACTACTCGGTATATATCCAAAGGATACAAAAATGCAGATTTGAAGGGGCATATGCACCCCAATGTTTATAGTGGTACTACCAATAATAGCCAAATTATGGAAAGAGCCCAAGTGTCCATAGACTGATGAATGGATTAAGAAGATGTGGTGTGTGTATATATGTGTGTGTGTGTGTGTGTGTGTATATGTGTGTGTGTGTGTATACACACACACATATATATACACATATATATACATATATATATACACACACACATATGCATATACATACAATGGAATACTACTCAGCAATAAAAAAGAATGAAATCTTGCCATTTGCAACAATGTGCATGGAACTAAAGGGTATTATGCTAAGCGAAATAAGTCAGAGAAAAACAGATATGATTTCACTCATATGTGGTATTTAAGAAACACAACAGATGAACAAGGGGAAGGGAAGGAAAAATAAGATAAAAACAGAGAGGAAGGCAAACCATAAGAGACTTTTATTTTTAAAAAAAAAATTTTTTTTTCAACGTTTATTTATTTTTGGGACAGAGAGAGACAGAGCACGAACGGGGGGGGAGGGGCAGAGAGAGAGGGAGACACAGAATCGGAAACAGGCTCCAGGCTCTGAGCCATCAGCCCAGAGCCTGACGCGGGGCTCGAACTCACAGACTGCGAGATCGTGACCTGGTTGAAGCCGGACGCTTAACCGACTGCGCCACCCAGGCGCCCCCATAAGAGACTTTTAAATAGAACAAACTGAGGGTTGCTGGAGGGTTGGTAGGTGGGCGGATGGATTAAATAGGTAATGGGCATTAAGAAGGGTACTTTTTGGGAGGAGCACTGAGTGTCATATGTAAGAGATGAATCACCGGGTTCTACTCCTGCAGCCAAGACTAGACTGTATGTTAACCAACTTGAATTAAAAAAAAAAAAAAGGTAACTTCCCATGTCACATGTATGAAAGAGAATTTTCTTCAAATAATCCACACTAGATCTATTTCTACTAGTTTACAAGTCTTAAGTAAACATATCATTGGCAACACCTATTTCATGGCTTAAGGAGCACTTTGTATTTTATGGCCACTAAAAGTCAGTGCCACAAAGGCTTCTGGAAACCTTAGCACCCCTATCCAAGCCCCATTAAATTTTTTTTTTAACATTTATTCATTTTTTTTTTTGAAAGTGAGAGAGGCAGAGCATAAGTGGGGGAGGGGCAGAGAGAGTGGGAGACACAGAATCTGAAGCAGGCTCCAGGATCCGAGCTGTCAGCACAGGGCCCGACACAGGGCTCGAACTCACAGACTGTGAGATCATGACCTGAGCCGAAGTTGGACGCTCAACCAACTGAGCCACCCAGGCGCCCCTCCAAGCCCCATTTTAAAAATGAGGAAACCAAGATGCAAGAGAGAGGACCCAACTTGTCTGATGACACAGAGTTTACCTGACATCTTATCCAGGGCCTTTCTCAGCAGGCAAGAGGGAAGAACTCTCCTCCCTCTGTGGGCAATGGGCGCAGAATTAGACTGTTTTCAAAGAAAGCTGCTTTTTTAAGGTAAAGTGGCTGCTATGGGCAGATTCACATGTTGAAGCCCTAACCCTCAGTATGATGGTGTTTAGAGATGTGGCTTTTGGGATTAGTGCCCTTATAAGAGACAGGAGAGGGCCTGCTTCCTCTCCCTGGTCTCCAGCATCTGAGGATGCAAAGAGACGGCCATCTGGAAATCAGGAAGCAAGGCTTCATGAGACACCAGACCTTCTGGCACCTTGAACTTCCCAGACCCCTGAACGGGGGAACAAGTGTGTGTTGTCTCTGCTACCCAGTCTACAGTAATTTGGTATAGCAGCCTGAACTAAGCAGAAATTAAAGCTGAACAACATAAATACATTTTTCATGTAATCCTAAAGAAAAGCCAAGGCTTGCTGTTTTCTTTTTTCCAAAGTGAAAAATATATGATGATTTTAGTTGTTCCCACTGGCACCAGAACAAAATAGGCTATTTAAAATGAGAAAATTCTCAGGGATGTTCAACTCAGCCCCAAAGAGTTTTTAACAAAGTGGCCTGGGTCCTGACCCCACTGGCCTTCTAGTCATCCAAGGAGGCATAGATCCGTTGTAACCCACTTTTCCTCCCAAACCAGTCACCTCATGCAGGTAGTAGCAATACTACAGCGATCATTATTCCAGGTGTGCACCCGCCGCCGGTTGTAAGTCTTTTTCTCTGTTTCCCACACTTTCCCAACAAAGGGAGCGGGATGGTTTTACCTTTGCTGACGTTCATCAGCTCTTTCACCTGCAGGATGACAGGGGTCAGGGTCCCCGTCTGGTTCATGGAGGCGATGTAGTTCTCCAGCTCCCCTTCAAACACATCCAGCTCGTCTCTCACATACATGAACATGCAGAACTCAATGACAATGAACTGGTGCAAAGAGCAAACATTTCAAAGTCTCACCTGAGTCCAGCCTACTATGTAAATAATATATGGACCTCTCTTTGGTTTTGAGGTCAAGCTCTTTGAAGTTCAAAACACATATGAAATAGATTCTGACCACTGGCTATACCAAGATGAGTGGGATTGTGACTTCTCTGAAGACATCTTTGGAGCCACCCCAAACTCTTTTCTGCACCCCACAGCATATAAGACTAAGTCCTACAACGGCTCAAGTCAGTCCTCAAACATTAATTACCTCAAAGTGAAATGAATGTCTAACTTTGAATAAGAAGTGACCTTGGGGACAATTCCAGCCATATCTCTCCCCACTCTTCTTCTTGCATCTTGGTGGTAACCACGTTGGAGAAAGTACTGTTTGCTGTATACACGCCACACTTTCTCACTCCCATAATCCTGTCATCATGCCTTTATACCATCTACCACCATGCCAAAGCTTCTACAGTTCCTACTGCCATTTTACTTCATCAACCAAATTTTGTTTGTCTTTGTGCAGCTCAAATGCCACCATCTTCAGGTAGCTTCTCAATCTCGAATAATGCCCTAAACTTTCAGAGCACTTTCACCTCATCTTTGTCTCTCTTTACATGGCACATACTTCATACCACGTCATATCCCCTTCTCTTAGACCATGGGTCTCTCCCAGGCCAAGACTCTGCTGAATCAGCTCTCTTCTCTCTTCCAGGTCTTAGCATGGTGCTTGGCATACAGTAGATAACCACTAAAGACTAAAGGAACACAATGATTCAAAGTCAATTATTCATGTTGCAGAGAACTCCACTTGTCAGTTAAAATCCATTCTCCCCTTCTTTGGGCACAAAACTGGACTACATTTCCCAGCCTCCCTTGAGGGATGTGGCCATGTGACGAGGTTCTTGCCCATGGAAGATGAGTGGAAGGAATGTGTGCTATTCTACAAGGGCACTTTGAAAACCTCCCACATGCATTTCTCCATGCACCTTCCCCTTCTGCTGACTGGATGCAGAGGGTGAAGGTTCTCAGGATAATGAAGCACATGATGGAAGAATCTCAGTTACAGAGTAACACATGGAGGACTGTTGCCCCCCAAACCTGAACACCTACTCAACATTGTTACATAGGCAAACGTATTTATAGTGTTAACTTACTAAAATTTAGGGGTTTATGTGGTACTCCAGCATTACCTAACTCATACATTCATTTAAAACTTAATCACAGCAGGGGCGCCTGGGTGGCTCAGTCAGTTAAGTGTCTGACTTCGGCTCAGGTCATGATCTTAAGGTTTGTGGGTTCAAGCTCCACATCAGGCCCTGTGCTGACAGCTCAGAACCTGGAGCCTGCTTCGGATTCTGTGTCTCCTTCTCTCTCTGCCCCTCCCCTGTTCATGCTCTGTCTCTCTCTCTCAAAAATAAACAAACATTAAAAACTTTTTTTAACTTAATCACAGGATTAATTTATATAGGTATCATCCAGAAGACAATATGGTCTTCCACTTCTATCTCTCCATTTTGACTCTCCTTTTGACTCAGACGTTTTACCTCAGATAACTTTGACCACGTGAAATGTTTGCCTCTGTGCTTAATAAAATATGAAAGTCAGAATTATGGCAACATTAAAAATTTTTTTGTTGAGAAAGCAAACTTAAATAAAGCACCTATACCAAAAAACATGATGATACCCAAAGTCCGTAGTTTACGTTAGGGTTCGCTCTTGGTGTTGCACATTCTGTGGGTTTGGACAAATGTCTAATGACATGTATCTACCATATAGTATCATACAAAGTCTTTTCATTGTTCTGAAATCCTCTGTATTCTGCCTATTCATCCCTCCCTCTCCCCAATCCTTGGCAACCACTGATCTTTTATTGTCTACATAATTTTGCCTTTCAAAATGTCACACAGTTGGAATCATATAACATGTGATCTTTTCAAATAGGAATCTTTCACTTATGAATATATATCTAAGTTTCTTCCAGGTCTTTTCATGGCTTGGTAGTTCATTTCATTTTAGTGCTGAATTGTAGCCCATTGTCTGGATGTACTGAAGATTATTTATCCATTCACCTACTGAAGGGCTCTTGGTCACTTCTATATTTTGGCAATTATGTGTAAAGCTGCTATAAACATCCATGTGCACGTTTTTGTGTGCACATAAGTTTTCAGTGCATGTGGGTAAATACCAAGCAGGGTGACTGCTGGATCATATGGTAAGAGTATCATTTGTGTTCCCACCAGCAGTGAATGAGAGTTCCTGCCAGTTCACACCCTTGTCAGCATTTGGTATTGTCAGCATTCTGAATTTTTGCCATTCTAATATTTTAACGTACAGTAGTTGTTTTGATCGTTGTTTTAATGTGCATTTTCCTGATGACATATACTATAGAGCATGTTTTCATTTGCTTATTTGCCATTTGTATATCTTCTCTGTGAGATGCCTATTAAGGTCTTCGGTTCACTTTTAAATCGGATTATTTGTTTTCTCATTGTTGAATTTTAAGAGTTCTTTGTATACTTTGAGTAACAGTCTGTTTCAGATGTGTCTTTTGCAAATATTTTCTCCTAGTGTGTGGCTTGTCTTTTCACTCTCTTGACAGAGTCTTTTGCAGATTAAAACGTTTTAATTTTAATGAAGTCCAGCTTATCAATCTTTCCTTCATGGTTTGTGTCTTTGGTATCATATCTAAAAAAATTTTCACCACTTAACTATAGAAAACCAACTAGTGGTTATCAGAGGGGAAGTGGGTAGGGGGATGGGTGAAACAGATGAAGGAGATTAAGAGTACACTTTTCATGATGAGCACTGAGTAATGTATAGAATTGTTCAATCACTATACTGTATACTTGAAATAATATAACACTATGTTGCCCACACTGAAATTAAAATAAATATATATACATACCTACATACAAACATACATTCATGCATAAATTCACTACCAGTCTCAAATAATTGGTAATGCCAAATAATAACAATAACTAATTTAATTAAAAAAACAAAAAGTCATCACCAAACCCAAGTTAATCTAAATTTTCTCTGATTTCACCTTCTAGAATTTCATAGTTTTGCATTTGACATTTAGGTCTGTGATTCATTTTAAGTTAGTATTTAGGAAGGTCTGTGTCTAGACTCATTTTTTTTTGCATGTGGATGTCCAGTTGTTCCAGCACCATTTGTTAAAAGAAAATATTTGCTCCATTGTATTGCCTTTGCCCCTCTGTCAAAGATAAGCTGACTCTATTTATGTTGGTCTATTTCTTAGCTCTCTATCCCGTCCATTGATTCACTTGTCTATATTGGCAACATCACACCATCATGATTAGGGTAGCTTTGTAGTAAGTTGAAATCGAGTAGTGTCAGTCCTCCAACTTTCTTCTTCCTTTCATTTAATATATTGTTGGCTATTATGAGTCTTTTGCTCTCCCTATAAACTCTAGAACCAGTTTGTCAGTATCCACAAAATAACCCCCTAGTTTTGATTGAGATGCACTGAATTCCAATACAGATCAATCCCAATATATGTAGATCAAGTTGGGAAGTACTGATATCTTGACAATACTGAATCTTTCCATCCACACATATGGAATATCTCTCCACGTATTTAGTTCTTCTTTGATTTCTTTTAACACAGGTTTGTAGTTTTCCTCATATAGATCTTTGTGCATATTTTATTAGATTTACATTTAAGTATTCCTTTTGGGGGGTTGCTATTGTAAATGATAGTTTCTTTAATTTCAAATTCCTCTTGTTCAATGCTGATACATAGAAAAGCAATTGACTTTTGTAGGTTAACCTTGTACCTTGCAACCTTGCTATAACTGCTTATTAGTTCCAGAAGTTGGGTTATTTTCAAGATTTTATTTTTAAGTAATCTCTGCACCCAACATGGGGCTCGAACTTAAAACTTTGAGATTAAGAGTCACACACGCTATCAACTGAACCAGCCAGATGCCCCTTCAGGAGTTTTCTGCTGATTCTTTTGGATTTTCTACATACGCAATCATGTCATCTGTGAACAAAGACATTTTTACTTCTTCTTTCCCTATCAGTATACCTTTTATTTGCTTTTCTTGTCTTATTACCTAGCTAGGATTTCCTAAGTAAATGCTGAGTGATGAGGGGAAACAGTCTTGCCTTTTTCCTGAGTTTAGTAGGAAAGTTTCTAATTTCTCACCATAAAGTATGATGCTAGCTGTAGATTTTTTTGTTCATATTTTTTATCAGATTGAGAAAGTTCCCCTGTATGCCTAGGTTATTGAAAAAAATTATCATGAACTGGTGTTGAATTTTGTTAAATGTTTTTCCTGCATCTCTTGATACGATCATGGGATTTTTCTTCTTTCGGCTGTTGATGTGATTGATTACGTTAATTGCTTTTTTAATATTGTACCAGGTTTGCATACCTGAGATAAATCCAACTCAGTTGTGGTGTATAATTCTTTTTATACATTGCTGGATTTGATTTGCTCCATTCCATTGTAATTCTTTAGATCCACCTGTCTCCAATTTCAGGGACAATGGTTTGTGCCATGACTTCTCTTATGGATCTAAGAACTGTTGAGTTTCAGTTTGTTCAGATTTTTACTTGTTAGGATGGACTGGCATCTTGCAAGCTCTTTACACGGAACTGACAACCGGAAGTCTCCATAAATAATTCAATTATATTTATTAGTCATTCACCATGTGGGTAAAAGTGTCCTTGGAGTAAAAATGGTGGCCAAAAAAATGTACTTCTTTTATTTACAGACTCAATTTTGACCCAGCTTTTAAAGAATAAGCCCTGCCCTAACCCCATCCCACTTATAAAATAGGAAAGGGTTTGCTTGGATCTACTTACAAGGTACAGGCATATGAAAGCCAACACAGTGGTTCCAATCATTCTGCTTGGGAACTGAAAGCAGGGGTCCCACTCATACACCCTGGTTTGGAACCAGGACTTTTTAGTCTCCCTGTGAATGAATAAATAACAGAAAAGAGAGGCTGTGGTTGGTAAACAAATGCCTAATTCTTCTGAAAATAACCTCTGCCACATCTTAGAATTTAGTGAAGAAAAAGAACATCCTGGTAGATTCCAGTTTTCATTCTCCCCTTATTCTTAAGAACAGAGACTCAGTTTTATTCAGTACAGCAATTCACCAAACTAAAGGGCTATGGTTCCTGATCTCTCTTACAGCTAGAGTGACTAAGATTAAGCACAGGCCAATCAGATGTCACCAGATGTGGCAGTTTGGGGGAGGGTGCTGAGGTATAATTCACGCAGCTGGGAGGGACCCCATTGCCCTCTTTCTTTTCTCCTGCCTGCTGTCTGAAACGCAGACATGGTGGCTGATCCAAGCTGGAGCCCACCCCAGCATCCGTCTTGGACCGTGGACAGCCTTCATGATGACAGTTACTAAGAGCTGGAGCAGAAAGACAGATGACCAGTAAGTTGCCGTGGTGGGCAGTTCAGGGTCAGTATGAACTACCTGCCTCCAGAATTCTTTTATATGGGAAAGAAATAAATCTCCCTCTTGTGTGTCCCACTGTTATTTTGCATTTTCTGCTACATGTAACTCAACGTACTTCTAACCAAAGTACTAGCTTTGCCACTGTATGACCCTGGATTAGACACATCCCATTTGTGGGGCTTATCCCCTTGTACACAGTGGCAGTGGCAGGGATAGGGTTGATCACTGCTTTTGCTTGGCCATGAGCTATGTCCCCTGGTATTGGTAACAGCCCCTGCACTATTTCTCTGGGAACCTGCTCCCTCCCCTCAGTCCTACCGCTTAAGTGAGGCTGAACAACTTCCTAGTTCCAAAGATGAACATATGACAGGCTTAACGATCCATTTACTCTAATCACCTAGCCACAGTAATTGGTTCTGGGAACGCATGTGGTCTGATGCGACTCAATGAAACCCACTCATAGGAGTTTGGTTTGAATTATTAGAAAGTTTCTCTTTCCTGTGATCTTAAACCAGGAGGGTACAAGCTTAGAGATTCTGAGGGCCACCACGGGGAGGAAGCCCACCTAACTACGGGTCTAACACAGATCAAAGCAGAGCTAAGAGAAAATGAGGAAACCAGGAAGCCCTGGTTCTGATATCAGTGAAGCCACTGGATCCGTCTGCATTGGAACCGACCACTTCTAGAGTTTTTAATTATGAAAGGCCACACGTTTGCTTTTTCTCTTTAATCTAGTTTGAGCTGAGTTTCTGTCATCAGCAAACAAGAGTCCTGACTAATGTGCCCATCCAGTCATCTCAGGGTCTCCCGCACTGTCAGGGCTCATCAACACTGGCACAAATACCTGGGGGGGGG